CCGACACTTTCATCACTGTACCTTCTTCAGTCTTTCTCCATAATGCGAAGCTGCTGAAGCTGCAACCTTTTTATTCGGTGCCTTGCTGAATAAGCAAGAAAAGTGGTTAAAAAAGTTTTACAGCAAGATTACACCGCTTACGTATAATTAAGAGCAAGTGTAGAGTCGCAATCCCTTCCGTAAAAGTTGTCTATGCATTCTAAAGCTTTGCTCTGCAAGGAGTCTTGGCTGACCTGTAAGAGCTAGATACTTTGCAGCCATAATTGCCTCACTGCCCTTCTTATATATCAACATCTCCCTTTCAAGCAAATTTAAAAAAGTCTGATTCAACTAACCATCGGCGAACCTGCTGACGCGCTAAATTGCGACATGAGATTCGCGTTACCCGCTTCAGATGGTACTTTCGCTTCAACGATGCAGAATGGTTCTTCAAGTCCTTCGGATTTGCTTCTTCTTCGGAATGTAGGTGAGTGAGAGACGCCGAAACAGATGGGCAACTGAAATACGCTTATTGCTGAATTAAAATCTTTTTACCAATATCGAAAGAAGCAGGCATTACCGCAGAAACCGCGAACCATAACCACATTGTTGCGGATGATATGCTGCCTGAGCATACACTTTTTATACTGCACCCTGAATCGTAGGTGTCTAAAGGCAATGTATACACACAATAAACTGTTAACTGCTTAGAATATCATCAGCAAATGCAAATAGAATGTAAAGTTGTATTCACATACTTGCCTTATTGTAACAAGTGCATTTCGGAATCGCAAGTTTTGCAAATTAACTGAAGCTTAAGCCACCTTTGCAGATTTGAAAATACATCGCGTTCCATGCCTTTGCATGAGACTGGAAAAAAGTGCTTGGATCATTGTTGCGCAGTTCTATACAAAAATAAAAATAGTCAGTCGCGGTTACCAAGATGAATCAGTTGGCTCTTGAAGCATGCCAGCATCAATATTTGCTGTCCTCTTACTCCAACTTTGAATCTTCACAAAGGGCATTGCTATATGCGATTGTGTAATCACTCAGCTGCAAGAAACTCTTGTTTATCCCACTGAGAATGCAAGCAAACAAGGGCAACATGTTTGTGGTAAAAGCATTATGCTCCATTTTATCATGCTATCAATTTGTGAGTCTGACTCGTCTTTAAATCGGCCATTTCTCTGAACCATTAGTTCACTCTCTGCATTCTTCTCTAAATTTTCAAAGGAATATAAGACATAAATAATTTTTTGATTTGATAGTGAGCTTCAGCTTGCTTCTGTGTACAGCTCTCTAAACTTTCGTATTGAGTAGACGATCCTCTTCCCAAGATATATGAAAACAGCGAACTACGATGTACGTACTAGCTGCAATTACAGCTCAATTTAGTAACATTCATAGAAAATATGAGTGCAAGAATACGACAGAATACATTTTTGTCACTAGCCGCTTTGAAATTCAAATTTTGCAAACTTTGCACTT